ATTTACTTGCTTTGAATGAAATTTGTCAGCTGCTCCTCATTTATTCCACAGTATTCTCTAATTCTTTTTCTCTGATGTATCTGGTAATCCTTTTTTTTTTTTAATTATTTCAGACAATAAAATTATTATATATTCTATGTATTTCATAATTATTTATTATAATATTTGCAAAATAAAGAATTTAATACTAATTTTTCAATAAAGTAGAAACATTTTTAAATAGAAAAGATATGACAAGTTGTAAAAAAAAACTATACGCATGAATATTATCGCATCAATAATAAAGATAATAAATGCAGATTGAATTTCAACAGACCTTCCCTGTTTTTTATTTTTCTTTTTTCATGATAAGGAACCGACCTTGGGGTGTAGGTAGCTGACAAAAACTAATATTTTCAAATCTCTATCTATCAAGATGGAATGCTGAATGCGATAGCAATAGATAGAAACAAAAAATCTAGAATATTTATCGACAGAAAGATACGTCGTCCTCTAACCGAAGTAAATATAATATATATTTTTTTGAAACTCAGGTAGATGAATTTTTTCTTTCACTCTTTTCACCTTTCCTTTGAATTTGAGATATCTTTATCATGGGTTAGCATACAAAAGTATTTTTTTTTGTGTTGCAACTAATACCTGAAAATGCTGTAAAAGAAGGGAACAATTCTGGTCGAATTTTTTCGTTCCATCTGGTTTTTAATTACAACGATTTTAATATCTATTTATCATTTCCGCTGTTTTATTTTATAGTTTTAAACATTTTTTATAAAAAATTTATTTTCTATAATTTTTTGCTATATTGGTAAAATAAGTTATATTATTGTATTTTTATTGGAAATATAAAGTAAATAAGGTTTATTTTTTTTTGTCACGTGTCTAGTTTCTTCTATTTAAAAACTTTTTTATTTTATTGTAAAATTATAATAAATTTCCTAAATACGCAAACATTATAATAAAAAAACATGTCTTTTGATATTTATAAGAAAAGTATTTTACAATGTTGGTTAATTTTTTTTTTCTCTGATTTATCTGATAATCATTTCATTTTTTTGTAAAATATTGCAGACAATACAATTATTATATTCTATATATTTCATAAATGTTAATTATTATATTTGCGAAATAAATAAATAGTTTAATAATATAATTTTTTAATAAAATAGAATCATTTTTATATAGAAAAGAAATACCACGTTTGGTAAAATAAAAACAGACCACGCACCTTCTTTCATTATTTCGACCTTCGGTTGGTTTGGACCTCATACTTTTGTCGCATACCTACGTGCTTATCTCTGTTTATTCTTCTACCCTTCTATCGCTCCTACCTACAAACAGGTATATAGTATCGAAATTATTTTATATGTGTCCACGCTTCGTAGTATGTAGTCGCACACAAACACACACATATACAACCAGGAGCGATAACTACGAAGCATAGCATAAAGAGGAGACCGAGAATAGGAAAAATTGTATAG